CCCCCCCCCCCCCCCCCTAGAGAATTTGACATCGTGATTTTAAAACTTTCGCCATCTTTCTGAACCACTCTCCCATTTTCGAGTACATGTGCTTCTTTCGTCGGCGAAATCGTTGTGCTTGCAATCTTTACGTTCTTCTTTGCATGTGAGGACATATAGGTCCCTTCCAATTGCACGGCATATACACGATTTTCTTTGTCTTTTGGACTGTAATGAAAAACGCAGACGTCCGGCACGGCGTTTAAAAATTCGTTTAACGACTTAAATCCATAGTTTTTTCACATTGATCACTCGCCGGACAGTTCTTGGTAGTCCCTTTGTACTTAGCTTTCTTGGACGCCCTTGCTTGATATTAAAACGGAGCGTAAAAAGCTTTTGACATCGTTTGAAACTTTTTCAGCTTTGAACATTTTGGAAACAACGAGTATCGAGAAGAAATAAGCCCAAGAGCATAAACATGCTGTGGTCAGAGGTCAAGCGATTGCATGGTATAGACTTCTTGTAGCGCTCATTATAGTATATCAGATTGATCCCGATCCCCAACCCCACCTACCCTGGAACCAGAGAGTATTTATTTTCGCCTGTTTTGAATAACCCTCTGGTGAAATTGGCGTAGTTTTTGGGTTCACATTCCACACATAACTTTCAAAAATGGAAGCAAAGAGTTGATTGGCTGCTGACTATATGTTCGATAGACTACGTGTTCTGATTGGATATTGTAAACATCATAGCCTGTTCGCAGGCGTTTCGTGTCTTGATTGATTTGAAACATGTGATTGAAACATTTGAATTTTGAAATGTCTATATTATTAAATAAACGAACAAAAGTTGAAAGAAGCAGTTTTATAGGCTGCATTAATAGATAGATTGATAAATTTCCTGAATTAAAAGTTTAACGGAGCATCAATACCGCGCCTTGTCCAATTTGATTCACATTAAAGATGTATTTGCATCTTGCTATCGGTTATGGGAAGAGTTTAATATTCCAAAGTTCTAACACCGAGAGTAGCACGACGACTTGGCAAAAGCCACAATTTTCTGGAGAAACCCATCTTAATATAGTCGTTGCAAATTGAACTCTTTCATTAACTCTCACGTCCGTGAACTAAGAAAGCGTGGATGCCGTGTTACTTCACCGTCAAACGAAGAGGACGAGAAAGCAATACTAGATGGAGAGTTTACATTCGCATTTTGTAATCCCGAGTCTATTATTCGAAATGCGAAATGGAGAGGAATGGTTTCATTTGAAATCTACAAGACAAATTTGCTTGCTTTTGTATTAACAGACAAAGTTCACGTCGGCCCAAAGAGGTGTGTTTAATAAATTTATAAAATACAGATTTTTTTGAATGTATATTGCAGGATTAAAGTGAATGAATATAAATATATATTTATATTAAATTGAATAGATGTGATGTTTTAAATTGAATGAAATTCAGGAGAATGAATATTGCTACAAATGGGCAGCCATACACTGGACAGTAAACATGCGATAAAACCCTGTCTAGACGGCCTGGCGTCAAGGATAATGATTGGATAATATTTTTAGAATATGATGCATTAAGCCATTATACATTTTTTGCATTTTTTAACCGAACCAGGAATCGCTAACAAATTCAACAGAGGTTTTTCCTTTTTCTTCGCGCGTTTTCTCGCATTTCGCGTTCGCCAAACATAAAAAAACCTCTGGGCCAGGGTAAACCCCACCCGGCAACTAACCTCTAACCCGGGTCTACAGTACAGCTTACACCACTGACTGTTTCTCGTTTTAACATTAATCTGAACCATAATTGACAGACTAAAATCGTAGCGTGTGCGCCTGGCTTAAAGCCGTCTGTTTTAAGTAATCGTTTTGATGCAAGCAAGGGGTCGGGATCCAATCATATACAATCCAAATGGTCACGAAATAAAATACGAGACTTATTTTACTCTGCTCGAAATAAAGCTGGGAAGTTGAAGGGGGAGCAATAAACTGCACTGTTTATTGCACTCTTGCGCCAAAGAGGTAGAGGAGATTAGGGGGAGGGAAGGGGGCAGGGGGTTCAAAAACCTTTAAATGATAGCTGAATAACTGCAATAAATATTGCATGGAATATAAGGCAACAATGTTTTGAGAGCTAAGATTTCCGGCAACAAAAGGGGGTCATATGTTGGCAACCTAAATTCCTCCCACCCCCGAACCACCACCAATATTTCGCCAAGTGTCCGCCACGCCCAAATGGCCTGGTTTTCATGCGGTTATTTTCTCAATGTTTCGTGCACATTAGGTTCATAGCCTTGTGATTAGGATCAAGATAACAAAGAAACGTTCCTGCACGAAACCTGATGGGGATATAACCTTCATGTGCGCCTGCGATGCTAAAACAGGGAAACATGAAAAGGAGGCCATCGGGGCAAAAGTAAAATAAACAGTAACGTCTATTTGAGAGAAAAGGGTTGAAAGCCACTGTTAACCTTTTTGGGTTCAAGTCGTAGATCTGAAGATTATTGTTCCGTGATCCATCTTATTTCGAGCTCTGGATTACATTATCTAATCCAATCCAATCCAATCCAACAAAACAGTATTTCTTGCGTTTCGAGTAGTCCAACATTAATATTCAGGAAATAAATGCAGTGTGCTAGAAACTAAACCAAATATGACCAGTGACATATGATGCGATTTTCCAATCATGTAATTGCGGCAAAACCGTTAAAAAAACCCCGAAAACAACATCCTATATCAAGCATGTTTGGTTTTTTATTGCAATTTAAGGTATTATATATTGTAATTAGACGTATCAAGCTTAGAAAGAACGTAAAGTAATAGCATTTCTGGTGAATATATGTATTGTGATCAGTAAATTTTAACATTGCTCACGGGACGAAAAATTAGATTCGCACTAAATTTGCAATAGTTGCAAATATATTTGATGCAAATTTAGTAGTTTGAATTCGCAACCATTGCGAATTCATCTTTGCAACGAGATAAATTCGCTTCACATTTGCCCATAACTTTGCAGGCTTGCAAATTTATTACAATATTTGCAACACATTTGCACATAGCTTCCAATTTGTGGCGAATTCGTCAAGTTGGCTTCGTTTAATTAAAAGCCGATTTCTAGAATTTATTGTTAAATTCTGTTAAAGACAAGCATATTATGTAAAAATTATCGCTCTTCCGATGTAACGTAATTTGGCGAGGATGCGACGGCAGAAGCTCGCGTTATTCGATTGATTTCTGTCAGCGTTTGTCCCAATTAGTCCAATTAACGGTCAAAGTGACCAGCGTTGTATTATTTCTTGCTGTTAATCTTCATGTCAACCCCAACTATGGCCGTTAACCTCTTGTCAACGCCAATCTTGGCCGGTTCTCGTTAAATTCTTTCAAGAAACACATGTAAGTGCTTTTCATTATACTATTATATAAAGATATAACGTAATAAATTAATAACACAGGATTTTCTAATGATTTCCAATACATTATTTATATATAGATAAAACGTAATTAACAACACGGGAACTTTTCTAATGATTTTCAATACATTATTTATATAAAGATATAACGTAATTAATAACACAGTGTAAGTTACGGCCGCCTGTGGCCTCGACAGACAAATTTCGCAGACTATGATCTCTACCCTGACGACAAACACGCATGCATCTATGAAGTAGTTGATATTATGGTCCATCAATATACTATGAATTTAGCTGTATTCAATTGCTTGGGGAAATTGATTGATATTCATGTGCGACACGTACTGCTCTAAACAAAACTTTAAAATGTAGGACCTCTTGAGAGTAGACACGAGTTGTTACGGTAATTGATTTGGTAAAACACTAGTACTCCCGATATATTTTCGGGTTTTGGAAGCACAGAAATTGTTCAATCGTTGATGTTGGGAACCGCTGTCCTATAGAATGCGTGTAATGCAACCATACATGCCGAATTGTTTTGGAACGTCAGTTTGATTATATTCCGGAACACATTTGCATTAAATTGGCATACGCATTCGCACACTGAATTATTAGTAGCAAATTTAATAACATATTTACATCAACTTTGCACAATAGCCAAATGTATTGCAACTATTAGATCAAGACAGTCAATGCATTAATGGATACAGCTTTTTCAATTGCAATGCTGCTATATTTTCCCGAAATGGTAACATGTTTAGCGCCGAAGCAAGCATTTACTGCGTGAGTAAACAGCAGTGCAACTAGTACATAACTACATGAAATGTGCGTGACTGTGCGTTCATGTAAAATATAAATTATACAGAGTACTACTAGAGTCAAGGGAATGCATATGTGCCCGTGCTGCAAAATGTATTTGGGGAAATTGTATTTTCTTCTATATATACTCTTATCCAAATGATCTATAGCTAATTGTATATACTTTCATGGTTTTCAACATCAGCCAAATGATTCCTGCATTATATGAATTCCCCGAAGTATCTAGACTAGACTAGATACTTCGGGGAATTCATATAGACTTGATATAAGATAATTATCTAGACTCGATTATGACTTGGAGACTTGTGCTGTCTATAATACCATACAAAATGAATCAGTATGATGAGAGAATTACAATGTAGCGTAATAATATTTCACCCAAATTGACCACTTGCGTAATAGCATGTGCCCGCTAAGCATGACGGTAGGAGGCTGTAGCTTGCTTCCAAACGAAATGGCCGTCGTATGAGCGTGCGATTTCGTTTGGGAGAAGATATGGCGGATTGTTGACCACATTTTGCCTCCATCGATAACTTATTTTGTGCGAAAAATTACGAGCATATTTTGAACTACTCATAGCGAAAATTTAAAGAAAATCGCCGCGTTATTTGTGAAGAGATTTTGTTGAGAAGTAGACAAGTTGTGAACACCCTTCCCTTTCAATTTCTCGCGAAAACTTGACTACGAGAACTAAAACAGGCGAGTTAACTATTCCACTCGCGATCGGCTAAATTTTTGGGAAAAATAGGCTCAACTGATAGTTGTTCTCATTGGATCTCAAGATTATTTTAATCCTATTGTTTGAAAATGTCATTTTGAGCTTTATGAATATAACAAATGTTCAGCAAAATTTTATTCGAATTTGCGATTGAAAGGTCATATAGCCTGACGAAATGTTTTGTTTGATTTTGGCACGAAAATATCTGCAAATTATGAACAATTATGAAAAACCCCAAATTATGATAATTATATAAGGTTGACTGAAGCGTTTTTGATTTTTGATTTTTTTCCAATTTCGGACGTTGCATGCTATTGAGGATTACCAAAGAATGATTATTCAACCGTCTTCAAGATAAAGCACATGTTTAATGCGATTGAAAGATCTGCCATGCATGCACCGCATCTTAACCACATTATCAACCGTGTCAATATCGGTGCCACAAGTGTGCCTGCATGACTTCAATGCACCTGACGTGTTTAAGTAAGCATTTAGCCAATCAT